CCCCAAAACCCCAAAACCCCAAAACCCCTTAGATCTTTAATCTTATGATTTGAGAATAAAATTTAATTAAAATAAATAAGTTATCTATTCGCTTTCTGATCAGCAGCAATATGCTTGTCTTTGTTCAATCAAAATCATTTTTCCACTCTTCTTCATCATCATCTTCTGTCTTAGGCATGCCCAACGAGGCTATTTGATTCTTTAAAACTTAAACTTGGACTTCGATATCATCAACATTTTTGCTGTAAACTTTATCAAGTGCCTCAACTAAGTTAAGCTTATCCATTTATTTCAATAACTCCTCAGAATTAGCCAAAAGCATTAAGGTATCAAGTAGATTTTTAGTGTTCTACATATTAATTGTGTCTTTAGTTTTATGTAACTTAGAATTCAATGCTTTAAGAATGCCCTAGAGATCATTAATTCCTTATTCATCTATCAGTACATTAATAATGTCTTAAACAAGATTGATCTAGAAAAATATAAATTAGAAGGAATCTTACTGCGATAAATAGTTTTTCATAGGGTTCATACTCAAAAACAATATTTCTGATGCATTCAATCAAATGAATTCTTCTGTGAGAGTTGATTTTATTTCCCTTGAGTAGCTCAACTAACTTTTGAAGCATCTTATTTTCAAGCATATAGTTTCTTCCTTCTTTTAATGCTGAAACATTTGAGAGGACATTCGAAATGAAATCGAAGTTTCCACTAGAACCAAAGTAGCAAAACATTCCGAATAAATTGTCAAGAATAGCCCCTTTTGTTGCTCCAGTTCCTAGCAGATGCCTTTATCCCTCTTCATTAATAGTCACATTGCTTAGCATCATAAGTAGTTGTTCAATTGCTTAGGAAATATCTTAGTTTGAGGAGTCCCTTATAACATATGCGTTGTCATCTTCAAGGAAATGAGCACTTGTTTACTCAGGTGATTTCATGTCCATTTTAACATTTGTCTTTAAGAAATCGAAAACTCTAGTAGAAACATTCAATGAAATAAGTTCCTTCACGTAATCTTTGTCAGCTGAGAAGTTAATTAGGCATGAAGCGATTCTCACTGAGTTCTATAATAAATTTTGCAATGATTTGATAATCTTACCCCTTCTGGTAATAATCTCAATAAAATTTTGCAAATGTCAGTCCCATGGAAGAGCTCTCTATTCTATGGAGTGGTTGAGTAAGCTAAAATAATATCCAATGCTTATCCTTGAGCCTTTTATAAGTTTGTTAAAATGATAGCGATTCTTACCTCTTTAGAGTCTAAGAATAAAATAACTTGCTTAATTTGTTCTTTATCTACACTGCTATCTACCATATTATTAAATAATGAGAGATTATTTGAGTTAAAATTTTAAATATCAACTGAGGCGTATTAATACCTCAATTATGACATATAAACAATTTATTAAATCAAAAAACAATGGGAGCTTGTGGGTCACGAGAATTTGATGATGAATAAGGTGAAATAGCAAAGATGAAGTTATAAAGAGGGAAGATTGCTGCTTACGGGAAAAAGAATTTTAGCAGAAGTTTTAGATACAATGACTCAGATGTCATTTTGTTCTCCTATAATGGCGATGTTATGACATTGAAATCAGCCATGTTTAAAAATGAAATGCCAGACTTGTTGTCTATTCGCGGGTTTTCTTAAACTATTTAACTAAAATCTTACAGAAGTAAATCTTAAAGTAACCAAGCTTCAATTAACTCTCTAAGTGACTAAGATGGAGACTAATCTAAAAATGACTAGAGGCTAATACAAACTAATATGTGGAGTCCAATTACATTTGCAATATTCAAAAATTAACTAGAGGTAGTTAAGTTCTTCATGTCATCTTTTGAAGAGAAAAAGAGGGTTAACCCATATCTTGCCCTAATTCAAAGCATTTTTGTAAAAGAAAAGTAAAGCTATCTAGATGAAATATCTGTTGATGAAGAATGCTTGTGTTATAAAATCTGTGTTTCAAATAGAAGTCTAGAGATGGTGAGCTATCTATTAACTTTTTCTCATGTTTGGAAAGCCAAGCATATAGAATTCTTAGTTAAGGAAATTATTAAGACTGATTGGAATCTACAGGCTCTATCTAAAGTAATTGAGAGCAAATCTTTTGCAAATGTTGTGAAATAAATTGATGACCTTCAATAGTAAATTGATTTTTTCGACAAACTTTTTGGTGAATATTTTGAATTTAGTAGAAGTATTGAAGAAACTAGGAGTACATTTGATGACTCGATAGATGAGTCAGAGAGAACTTAATATAGAGATACTGAGAAATATTATTAAAAGTGGGTAGTCTCAATAATAAAGTGCCTAGTGAGATCAAATTTTGCGATTGTCTTTACATTCTTAATGATCAGAATATCTCATGGACATCAAAATTAGACGAATCTTGAAGTGACATTGGAAAGTTTAACTGAGAAATAAGTGAGAGAATAATGCTAAGATTTTACGATGCAGCAGATTCTTGATATTTTTAGCAGTAAAATATTTGAACAAGCCCTTGACCATGAGTATGTTAGAACGTTTTACGATACAATGTCATCAAATATTCACATATAAGATCAATCAAGATTATAAGACCACTAAAATCATGAGATATAATTCTTTAGACATGTTAAGAAAGCAAATGTTTAAGAAATCTCTTAAAACTCAAACATTTATCGTCAATTAAAGTATCATTAAATCTAGGATAGCTTTGGGGAAGTAGATTTTAGTGAGAATGAACAGAATTTACTTCTTTCATTATTTAAAACAAATGATGTTTCAATTCTTAGGCGTTTAAATCCAATCAATATGGCTATATTATATAACCATGTAAATATATTAAGGGTATTCATTGACAAATGGGGATATATTCTCAGAAGACGTGATATTAAGTGTCCTGATTACAAATTAATATCAAAATCAAATAATGGGTTAATGATATTTGAAGCTGCTGTAAAATTGAAAAATCATAGTATGTTTAAATATCTGTGGGACAATCACGCTTACTTGTTTAGACTTAGCGACTTTTGCTAAGGTACAAAGATAATAATTGAGAGTAAAGACTAAACTCTAATTGCATTCTTATTAAACTCTCATACAACTCATGAATTCTTCAATATCTTTTCTTTTTCTTTCAGATTTACTTATTTGTCAGAGTATATTTTCAACAGTTTGCAAGCAATGATTGAAGATACAGTTGAGAATAAGCAAGTTATTGCTCTAGTTCACTAAGAATTGCATAAATAGCCTTTTGCATTTTATACATTTGCTATTTTCTATGAACATGGTCTTATGCTATCTTGCTTAAAATCACTTGACAACACATCTCAAAGAGACGTCGCATTATTTGTCAAGCACAATCCAAAGAGTGCTGATAAATTCATCACTGAAATTATTAAAGATGAGGTTGCAATGAAACTACATGACAACTTCACCTAGTAGTAGAAGTACATTGATTAGAGTAAAGCATCTTAAAATATATAATAAACCTAATTAGAAAGCCAAAAATTAAGAGAGAAGGAGATTGAAACTCTAGAAAATATAAAATTATTTAGAGAATCTCTGGAAAACTTTGCCAGATCTATTTAAATGGAGCTGAAGATTCTGGATATGAATAACTCTAAGACTAAAAGCTAGACCTCTAGCAACAGCTGAGATTCAAAATATAAATGTTAGATAAGTATAATGATTAAAGATTAGTAATTTTAGATGATTAATTTCTTGATTTTAATTTTTTTTATTGTTGATATAAGAAATAATTACATGGGGTTTTGGGGTTTTGGGGTTTTGGGG